TGAGCAATCACATTTCCAATTTGAGTGCTCGCAGCTTTCAAAGCATCAATCCAAGCTCACTGCCTCAATTTCTAGCAATCCAATTTCCATGTGGAGTGCTCGAACTTCCTTGCAGCTGCAATTAAGATTCAACACCAAAATTCCGAGCCTACTGTCTCCATGTTGAGCACTCGACCTCCCCATTGCGAGTGCTCGAAGCACCTCAACCCACACCTCCACTTCGAAACAAACCCACTTCCTTCAATTCGAGTGCTCGCCGGCTCAGTTCGAGCACTCGAATCTGCTACCAACACTCTCATCCACCAACTTCTCTCAACCAACCCATCTCCCTCACCCACAACTTCATCCCCAAGAACCCCACCCTCGGCCAACACCATGCCACCCTCATTTCCTTCCTCTACATCTCACCAACCGAGCCTCACACCTCTCAACCAAACCACCCCGCAACCACTCAAACTCATCCCATGCACAACCTCACCCCCAAGCTCACCACCCTCTCGGCATTTACAAACCCAAACCTTCTACCCCTCTCAATCACCCAACTCATCATCCCCATGCAACCCACTTCAAACCAAACAACCAACACCATCTTCAATCAACACCAAAACAACCAACCCTCAAACCCATGCACAAACCACACATCCCCCTCACCTCTTTGTCATATTTTCGAGCACTCGAAGCCAAGCTTCGAGTGCTCGCAATTGCTCGATTTCTCATATCAAAAACAACCGAGCCCACTGCCACATTTTAGAGCACTTGAAGACACACTTCGAGTGCTCGAACCAAGCCACCTTTCTTTTAAACCCAACCCAAACCACCCCATGCCACCCTCATTCCACCCTCTAGGCTCCAACACCCCAACCCTCCTTACCACCATCTCTCTCTCTTCAACCGAGCTCATCTCTCACCTCAAAACCAACCATCTCTCATCAACCCACAAACCACACCCAACCTAAACCACCACACCTTATCCTCACCCTTCCCTGCAAACCCACTTCCATGCAACCGAACTCACCAATCCCTTCACCCTCACCTCACCACCACCCCCCCATACTCTCGGCCACCACTCAACTTCAGCATCACCAACCCAACACAAACCCAATGCCGAGCCCTCTGCCAAAGCTTCGCGCACTCGCCGAGCCCATTCGAGTGCTCGAAGCTAACCCATCTCCTTCACCTTCCTTTAGAACCCAAAACCATCTCTGCAACACCCCATGCACGACCAACCTCTCATGCATACTATTTACAAAAAAAAAAAAAAAAAAAAAAACATAATACTATATATATATATATATAAATAATAATAATAATAATAATATTCCTATATATATATAGATATAATACTAATAATAATAATACTACATCAATAAATAAATACATAAATTTTTGGGTTTTGTTTAGATTTTTATCTTGCCATATAATTCCTGTGACTATTTTTATTTCTGTTTTGATTTTTCTTAAAAGCCTAGGCTTTTACTTGTGTATAGTAGTTATGTTCTGACAGGTCTTCCTGTCCAAGTTTGGGGGACACCTTTGCGCATTCACATCGATGGATATTTTTGCATTCGTCACTCCACTTGGTAATATTGTTCTTTTACCTTCTTTGCTCTTATTTTGTTTCACTTGTCTTCACGCATTGTGGACAATGTGACATTCAAGTTTGGGGGTGCAATAGGACATTTTTGGTTTCACATTTTTGCTAAGCAATGATAGTATGATTTGAACTTGTCGGGAATGAAGCATATGTTTAATACCTTGTGTATAGAAGTTATTGACATTTTTGAAAATAAAGAAAAATTTGAGTTGAAATGATTATGTGGATTCAAATTAGTCTGTATAAATATCTCAATTAGATTCTCGCTGGATTTGACACTCTTTTAAGCTTCACAATGCACATATGCACATTGGAAACTAAACTGTAAGGTATGCAACTTGATCGACCTTGACCTTGGCCTAGTTAATTTGATTTGATGAACCTGATAAATGAATATCTTTGGCATGATTTATGTTGTGTAAAAAAAAAAAAAACTAAGAAAGAAAGAAAATAATGACCAGTTGACATTTGTAGCCTTTCCAACCCAAGTTATTAAGCCCTAGGAGTGTCTCTACACTTAGCACCCTAAAGCCGTCTGGTTTGGGAGTTGTTAGCCTAACGCTTGCTACAGGGGTTGGTTAGAAAGCTTAAAGGACTTAAACATTGCACGGTCATTCAAAAAAATTTGTAATAAACATGGTTCGTTGGAGTTCGTAACCTTTCCAACTTGAGCTATTAAGCCCTTTGGAGTGTCTCTACACTTAACATCCTAAAGCCATCTGGTTTGGGAGTTGTTGGCCTAACGCTTGCTACATAGGTTGGTTAGAAAGCTTAAGGGACTTCAGCATTACACAACCATCTTATGTTTCACTTCTGAGTTACAATAAATTGTCAACAAGCAACAAAAGTTGTCTTGTAAATAAAATCATGCCTTAGGGACTTCATTTAAAAGGGAATTCAGTGATTTGAAAACTCGTGTCTTGGAATTGGAAAAGAAAGTAAAAGCCGCATGTTGAGAATCCAATCCACTTTCACTGAAGTTAGAGTTGATTTCCATTTAAAAGATGAGAATTGAGTTATTTATATAGACTATAATGTTGATACATGCATGTTGAAATGTGTTTAGTATCAATACTTCATATATGCAAGGTAGTCTTCCCAATGACTCCATCTCCAGCTCTTTTTTTGTTTCAAGTTATTTTTGAGTTATGTATATATCTCATTTTACCATGGATGATATTGTTGTAGTAGCATGCCCATGGTTGTCTTTTCATTAAGTTTTTCATTGTAGTTTTGCTAAGGGACTAGCAAAATGTAAGTTTGGGGGTATGATAAGCGCCGAATATTATATATTCAAGCGCCCTAAATTGCATTAGTTAAGTCCATCTTTTGATTATTTATGTAGATTATCTCCATTTCCATATTTTTATGCATTTTCAGGTTCATTGGCCAAAAAGAAGCAAGGTTGAAGTTTTGTTGTAATTTTGGATAAGAAAGGCACAATGCTGAAGCTTGGCAGCAGTGGAACCTGACTTTTGTTGCCATTTTCGACCTAGGAAACTCAATAACTGGACTTCCATCATAGCATGAAAGATTTAGAGCTCTGAATCAGCTTTCCAAATCTTTAAGCGGTTTGTCATTCGGAGTTCGGAGCAGAGAGTTATGATCTCCTTATTAGAGGTGCTCAGAACTGCCTGGCAGCAATAAAAGTCTGCCTTGTTCTTCAATTTCGACCAACCAGACTTAAGAATTGGATCTCCACCAAAACATAAAGTTTTTAGAGCTCTAAATTAGATTTCTAAATCTTCAAACGGTTCATCATTTGGAGTTTGGAGCGCAAAGTTATAGCCGTTTTACCAAAGTAGGTCCGGGCGGAGCAAACCAAGCATAGGGCATTCTGGCCAATTTTCGAGTGCTCGAGGCCTTATTTCGAGTGCTCAAAATTAGGGCAGATTGCTTCACGAGATCAGCCACTTGTGCTCAGAAATTTGCTAACTTTGTATGCTCTCTTTATGAGTTGGTTGGGGATGTTTCTTGGAGGAGAAATAGGGCTTTTTGGGTGGAATAACATGTCTACAAAAGAGGGGAGCCACACATTACTTAGGATTATCCTTCATTTTGACAAGAGGGAGGAGAGAGAAGAGAGCAAAAGAAAGGTGTGTTCTTCAAGCTCCAAAGAGGGTGCACGAAAATGGAGATGAGGATGATGCTTTTTCCTTCTTCTAGCTCACCAATGGGCAACTAAACCTCATCTAGGGAGGTGATGAAACCTCTCCCTTGTAAGCATGTGTTAGTATAGTTTATTTTTGGGGATTACAATGTATTTTTGATAATCTTTCCATGATCAAGAGCCTCATTTTTGTTGTAATGAATGTTGAATGTTTATAAATGATTATTGTGAGTTATTCATCTTGTCTTGGATGGTTACTTTTCTTAATCATATTGCTTGCACTTCCATGGTGACAATGGAAGTTAGATCATGGAATGGTTTTAATGGCATGGAGTTGGAGAACCTAGATAGTTCATGACTTAGGGTTTCCCTTTGATGGTCTATACTTGATTCTTAGCTTTATGTGCATTCACCATTTAAATTAGGGCTTGATAATCCTTGACTTAGTAAGCATGTTCTAAGCTACATTTTAGTTTAGGTAGTTGATCATGTGAACCTTTGATGGTTTATTCTTGCCTTTCTATTTAAATGAACTTCTTGAGGATATTATAGCAACCTAGTATTGTTATGTATCATGACTATCATATATGTTGTTTTTCCCTTAAATTAATCTTAACCTAGCATGTGTATAGGGATGGAGGTGGATTCATTTTCCTAGCTTTCTTTACTTGTACTTCACTCCCTTGAATTCTTGCAATTTATTTTTTTATGCACTTTTAATTTCCTAGCTTAAGTGACATCCAACAAAACCTCTATAAACCCCTTATCATTCTAAGAACAATTCTAGACACTTAGGTTGCTATAGACTAGCGCAGTCCCAGTGGTTCGACTTACCCGACCAATAGCCCTATTTTACAATGATTCGTGCTATTGCGAAGGTTGATGTTTAATTGACCAACCGATCATGAGGAGTAGAGAAGAGGGTTGAAGTTCCTTGGTAAGTTGAACTTAGCGAGTGGAGAATTTTGTGGGGTTTGATGTGAGTCATTTAAAGGGAGCCTTATTGGGTTAATAGAAGGTGGGGGAAAGTGAAGGTGTGGTTGACCAGAGTATGAGGAGGGGATAGGTGGATGGTAGATTTGTGTATGTAGGGAGGTGATGAGTGGTTTTTTGAGTATAGATTTTTGGTTTGTCTGCTTAGGGGGTTCCTGTTTGTGAGGAGTGAGGAAATGTCTATGGTTATTTTTGTGTAGAGGAATGTTGTTTGGAGAGGTTGCTACTTGGTTTGTGTTAGAGTTAGATTGCTTCAGTGGTTTGAAGGGGGGTTGAGGGGGTTGGCGATGGGGTTGGCCGCAGATGGAGGTTGCTGGTGGTCAGAGGTCTTTGGTTTGTAGAAAGGTTTTCTCATGGTTGGTTAACCCACTCCAATTTGCGAGTGTTACAATATAAAATCAACCAGCACCTTTTCTTTCTTTTTTTTAAAAAAAAAAAAAAAAAAAAAAAAGGCACAATTTCTTTCTTCAAAGACTTGACAAGAATACCTACTGTAGCAGCCATTTATTTATTTATTTATTTTATTGTTGTACAATCAGAATCTCAGATGGCCATGACAATAACTTTAATCAAAAAATTTTTTAATAAAAAAACTGTTTCTGTTTGTTGTTATATAGTGCTTGGAAGCATTGAATCCCCATTTTGATTTTAAAGTTAATGAAAATTTAATTTAAAATTTGAATCAAATATCCTCTAATTTCAGAATGAAGACTTCGATTCATCCCAAGAAGTTTACATTAGGAAAAGTAAAATAAAAAATTAGCGTATAGTATGGTCATCTTCTCTTTTTTCTCTTCTTCACTTTACTTTGCGTGTCCTACATTTCACGTTCTCTCTTTTTCTAGATTTCATTTATGCAACACGCGTTACGCAGTATATATATACTGCTGCTGCTGCTGCTGTTTTAATGCAGTAGATCAAGATATATAATTTATTGAACCACTACTCATCACTGTGTAGCTCCCTTTCTTTTTTTTCTAAAGCACTCATCGCTGTGTGTTTCGAACCTCCTTGAGGGACGATGGGGAGGTTTGGCATTGCCTTCCTGCTATTAGTGATTCACCGGTTTGTCGTGTCCTGTTTTCATCCAACTACACCGATGAATCCGCTCTTCTTGCGTTCAAGTCCGCAATCACCTTCGACCCCAACAACGTTTTGGGGAGTACCTGGACGGAAAACACCAACTTTTGCCAATGGATTGGTGTCTCGTGCAGCCGCCGATACAGGCAGAGAGTGACAGCTTTGGAGCTTCCTCGGATTGGACTCCATGGCACCATCTCCCCTCATGTGGGTAACCTCTCCTTCCTCAAGGAACTGCGTCTTGGTGATAACAATTTTCATGGTCAACTTATTCACCAGATCAGTCACTTGAGTCGCTTGAAAGTACTCAATGTAGACTTTAACTACTTGGAAGGGGTGATCCCTGCAAGTATATACCATTGCCGACAGCTTCAAGTCATATCTATGGCAAGGAATGAATTTAGTGGCAGCATACCCAAGGAATTGAGTACCTTGTCCAGTCTCCGCGTGCTTTATCTAGGACGAAACAAGCAGCTCACAGGTACAATTCCATCTTTCTTTCCTAACATGTCAAGCTTAAAGTGGCTTGGTTTGGAAGATAACAAGTTTCATGGCAATATTCCTAATGAGATATGTAATGTTCCAAGTTTGGAAGGGATTAATTTCGGTAGAAATTATCTCACTGGGTCAATTCCTCCATTTTTATTCAACATCTCCTCTCTACGAAAATTATTTTTAGAGATTAATGACCTTTCCAGAAATCTTCCCTTGAGCAGTACTACTAGGACTTCTAATCTTGAAATTCTCAGCCTTTCAGTAAATCAACTCAGTGGAAACATCCCTTCCTATCTGTCCAATTTTTCTATGCTCATTAATTTATATCTAGGTGGCAACCAATTCACTGGAACAGTGCCCACAAGTCTAGGCTACTTAGAATCACTCACAGAACTTCATCTAAATGGTAACCAGTTAACTATAGAACCCAGAAGTCATGAGCTTAGTTTTCTCACTTCTTTGACAAGCTTGAAATACTTGCAAAGGTTGATTATACTTGATAATCCATTTCATGGCATCTTACCAGATTCTTTTGGAAATCTTTCTAGCTCCCTCCTAATTTTTGATGCAACCAATTGCCAACTAAAGGGTCGAATTCCCGAGGCAATTGGTTCCTTAACAATCTTGAATTATTTTATCTTGAGTGGGAACAATTTCAACGGATCCATTCCGTCAACAATAGAGGGGATGAAAGAGCTTCAAATGTCGTACCTTGATGGTAACAGGCTTGAAGGATCCATTCCAAAGGAGATTTGCAGTTTGTGCAACTTAGGAGATATTAGTCTCCATAACAATAACCTCTCTGGATCAATCCCTGCATGCATCGGAAATGTTAGTGGGTTGCGGACGCTGTCATTGCATTCTAATTCATTGAACTCGTCAATACCATTGAGTTTATGGAGCTTGGATAATACGTGGTTCTTGAATTTGTCATTCAATTCATTAACTGCTCTAGATCTCAACATTAGACCATTGAAATCACTTACAACCAAATCTCAGGTAACATTTCAAGCACATTGGGAGCCTTTCAAAGTCTAAGTTCAATCAACTTATCCGGGAATTCGTTTTTGGGACCAATACCTGAATCATTTGGTAACTTGATAACACTAGATTTCATGGACCTCTCCCACAACAACCTATCTGGTTCTATACCCAAGTCTCTAGAGGCACTTTCACATCTCAAATATTTGAATCTCTCTTACAATGAGCTATCTGGGGAGATCCCAAGTGGAGGTCCTTTCGAAAATTTTACAGCAGAATCTTTTATGAAGAATGAAGCACTTTGTGGGAAACCATCTTTACAGGTTCCGCCATGCTCAGTTCAAGAACTAAACATTTTCCTTACAAATATGTTCTTCCAGCCATTGTTGCATCAGTGGCAATCTGCATTGCTCTATTGTATATGGTGCTCAAAAAATATAATGGAAACAAAGTACAAGCTCAAAGTTCTGCCTGTAATCTATTAGACGGAATGGAACATAGGTTGTTTTCATATCAAGAGCTTTGTAATGCTACAAATAACTTCTGTGAAGCAAACTTGATTGGCGTAGGAGGTTTTGGTGCGGTGTACAAAGGAATACTTTCTGACGGAACAAATGTTGCTGTGAAAATTCTAAACTTGCAACTTGAGGAAGCTTCCAAAAGTTTTGAAGCAGAATGCAAAGTACTGCGAACTGTTAGGCATAGGAATCTTGTTAAGGTCATAAGTACATGTTCTAACATTGAGTTAAGAGCATTGGTTTTGCAATACATGCCTAATGGAAGTCTAGAAAAGTGGTAATATTCTCACAACTACTGCTTGAATCTCCTTCAAAGAGTGAGCATTATGCTTGATGTGGCTTTAGCTTTGGAGTATCTCCATCAAGGTCAATTAGGGCCTGTTGTGTACTGTGATTTGAAGCCTGGCAATGTCCTTTTAGATGAAGACATGGTTGCGCATGTGGGTGATTTTGGCATTGCAAAGATATTAGCTAAAAATAAGACTGCAACACAAACGGAGACTTTAGGTACAGTTGGCTACATTGCACCAGGTAATTTTTTTCGACCTTATTCACCATGCTTTTTGTACATAACTTCCTTTTTCATTTTTATTTATTCAAAATTGTTAGCATATCCAATTTTATATGTATGGAAACTCAAACCCTTGCTACATTATTATTATTATTATTCAATATTTTTGAAAAAAATTATCCTTAGTATGGTTGCATTCAAATGATGAGTTACAAATTTTTAATTCTGTGTATTTTCTTTTTTGTTTAATTAATGATTAGGAATATATGATAAACAATGACAATATGAATTTTGATCATGCTTGAATAAAATGAATGCTTGATAGAGTACGGTTCAGAAGGAAGAGTGTCCACTAAAGGTGATATCTATAGCTATGGAATAATGTTGTTGGAGACATTCACTAGAAAAAACCCCAGAAATGAAATATTCATTGAAGAATTAAGTCTGAGGCAGTGGGTGAATGCATCACTTCCCCAAAAAATAATAGAAGTCATTGATAGAGGTTTGTTGACAGTAGGAGGAGTTGAAATGAGTTCCACACAAGGCATTTTTGTATCGATTATTGAACTAGGGTTGGAGTGTTCTAGAGAACTACCCGAAGAAAGGAATGACATAAAAGAAGTGGTGGCTAAACTGGATAAGATCAAATTGCAACTGCTTTCCAACTAAGGTTTCATGATGTGTGTTTCCAATTTTGCCGTGCTCATGTTTATGTTTTTAATTCCACAAATTGGTTTTGTGTATAGCTCTAGTGAAAATGTACCTTGTGTTTTTCTTTCCTGTGTTGATTGAATCCATAATCTTTCATCCTAAGTGAACACTAGGATAACTTCAAGTAGGAAAACAACAATTGTTTCTTGAATGCCAGGTTTCATTTTGCTATATTATAGATTATCCTTTCTCATCTTAAATAGGGAGGAAGAATTATTCAAAACTTGCTTATGGTTCCATTACACACATTTCGTGATGACATAGCTAGCTTGATTTCTGAGCGATTTCTTTGATTTGATCATTAGATCACTGCAAATTGTAAGAGTTATTCAAATGAATTCTTATCTGATAAAACACAAAGATAAATATTCTGTCAACTCCTGATAATCATTAATCATGAAATGGCAGCCTGATTCTCACATATTCTGTATTATGACAATTTCAAGTTCATATCAATGGTGACTAGCCAAGCTCCCATAAGAACTTCCAGTTACAACACACTCGAAGTTACAACAATCTTATTCTGAAGCCTCGAGATGAAATAATATTTAGATAGTTCATTAACAAGAAGCGAAATTCACTTCCTTTAATTTCTGCAAAATCTGGCACAGAAAGGAATTCATTGAGATGTCCCAAAAAGTGTGAGACAGTCGGATAATAGTTTCATTCACACAAGCAGCAAGCTGCAGAAGTAGCCGAAATGAGAGTTGAAATAAGAACGCTCTGCAATTCATATTCCCGAATCAAGTATGAGAGATATTTCTTTTTCCTAGGTGATTGAGGCAAACAAGACATAAGGTTTCTTGCAAGACGATGCACTAAATAAAATTAAAGGGCTATACAACTATCCAAATGAATTTACATTGATAGAAGAAGTATTTACTGAATCTGAAGATATAAGTTAAGATCATTTTTAAACAAATGTATTTCATTACCTATTGAAATCATAGAAGATACAGCTAGCAATTTTTGTCATATATATGCAAAGAATGGATATATAAATATTACTATCTTATGTCTAGTAACTAAATAATAATAATAATAAAGTGATCAAATTTCTCCTATCAAATTTGTCTTTTTGAGAATAAAAATCATCTATTATCAAATCAACCAAATATCTTGAAAACTTGTCTATCAATTGGTATAATCACAACAAATATAAATAAAAAACATCACATAAAACACACCAAATAAAAAACATCGAAGTCATCCAAAAGTTAACAAGCTCATAGCACCAAGATTTTATAGATTTTAACAAAACACATGGAGAAACACATTGATACATAATCGATCTTAACCAAGTTATTCATCAACTGAGCTTGAACATTTGATGACATCTTAATCATAAAATGAACCAGTTTAACGATTACCAAACATAAAAAAGAGAATTTTATAACTTAAGCCAACAAATGCACATCCCTCAATTTTGAGACTTTTCAAGAACTCAAAATTGAGTTTTTGGAGATACAATTATTGCAACCAAGTTTAACGATTACCAAACTTAAGATACTAGAATTGTGTCTGTGCTAGGTCCAATAAATCTACAAAATAATTAGGTTAATTTAATAGCAAGTCAAGGGACCAAGTGATTAAAAGATGGCTTTCAGGTTTTACTGCTTGAGGATTTGTGAATTCTTTAAAAGAGATTTCCTCCTAGAGGGTAGGTCAGAGGTCAGTGTGGAACTTTATAAAGAAGAAGATTAATCACATAAATATAGCTAAAATGGGAGGGAAGAACACCATCTATAATTGAATAAGTGGATATAGTCAATCTTCAAGGCCACCAACTGTAAAAATTTGACGAGTAGAATGCATATATATTAAAAGAAGAGAAGGGCCATGTATGAGACTATAGAAAAAAAAAAAAAAATACATGAGCTTATTTTGCTTATCTCATAGAAAGAAGGAAGTGGGTTCTAGTTTTGTTGCGATATGGGCAATGTTGGCTGGTAGTGCCGTAGTGACGTAAGCGGAAGTGATAAATTTGTTCACAAGGTGGGTGTTTTGAATCCACAAAACATAAAAAGAATTCAGAGAAATCTGATATATTATTTGATAATTGAATTAATGATCTGCTCACCCTAACAGCCTAAAGGAAATCCTAAAAACGTAAGGAAACTAATAGTACAAGGAAACTGCATAAAGGAAATCTTAAAAACGTAAGGAAACTAGCAGCGCAAGGAAACTGCTCAAAAATAAACTTGCTCTGAATATTCTTAAAAAAATAAGAAAAGAAACCTAATTGCTAAAAGCAATTAAATACCAAAAATGAAAGCAAATCGAATCCGTTTAGTTTTCTAACGAAAATCCTGAAATATTCAAAAATGAGAAAACGTCATTCTCGAGCCCTAAACGATTGAATTTGGCCAAAAGACGCCCTACCTCGGTAGTAAAGCTGCCGATATATGCGAGTTCAGCCGTTTCTGATAAAACTGGGCTCTTTTCGGGTTCACTTCGAGATCAGTCCAGAAAATCTATTAATATGCCCGTTTGGCCCCCTGGCAGTCCAAACGGGCCATAAAGGCTTCAGCAATCAGTTTTACATCAGATAGTCACCTCCATCCTCCAAGCACCATTTTTTAAGAAGTGGATATTGTTGATTACAAAATTGTGAAGGACTCCAGACATGGACAATAATGTATTGAATAAAATTTGGGCCACGTTACAAATCTCCACCTTAGCTCAATTACACCAAATTCCACAATCTCCAGCTACTCATTTTGCATCCTTCACATGCCTCTAAGGGCCTCAGCAACTGCAGACACCAATCAAGTCTACACAATGTCTTAACTTAATAGTAGGAATAACCTTAGTCATCATATCCTCCAGATTCTTTGTTGTTCTAATTTTTCTCACTGCAATAACACCCCGTGCAATCACGTCTCTGATGAAGTGCAACCTGACATCAATTTGCTTGCTCCTCTCATGGAATATATGAGTTTTAGTCAGAAGTATGGCACTTTGGATGTCACAAAACACAATTAAATCATCATGTTGCAAGCCTAAATCACCAACCAAACTTTTTAGCCATATAGCTTCCTTCACTGCCTTTGTAATTTCCATATACTCAACCTCAATAGTAGACAGTGCAACTATGGATTGCAAAGTCGTCTTCCAACCGATCACACTCCCACAAAGAGTAAAGATATACCATGTCAAGGGCCTCTTCCTATCAAAATCTTCAGCATAATCCATATCAACATATCCAACAATACTCTCACATGTATCACTGCCTCGTTTATAGTACTCTGCCAACATCTACAATGCCTTACAAGTACCGCAATATCCACTTTACACCTGCCAATGGACCTTCCCAAGTCTATCAATGTATCTGCTGACTACACTCATTGCAATTGAAATGATTGGCCTAGTGCATACCAAAACATACATGATGCTACCAACTACACTAGTATAAGGAGCATGAGACATGTGTTCCACCTCCTCCTCGGTCTATGGTGACAATCCTGCCAAAAGTCTATGGTGCCTCCTCCTCGGTCTACTGACTACACTCACTACTTTGATGCTTGTGTACCTCCGTTTTGCACATTCTCTATCCTAGCTTGTTCAAGAGTTTTAACTTCTAGTTTATGAGTTAGTCACTGAATAATTACTTCGGAAGCCTTATATTTTATGATATTAATATGATTTTCTGTTTCTATATTGTCCAATAATTTAATCTTGCATATGGCTTGCGTACTAGATCACTTGAACGAAACTTGAGTCTAGAGCAATTGAATAGAAATGACACTAAAGTTACTGAGTCTAGAGCAATTGAATCAATGAAAAATCTGTCATAGATCCCTACAAGATATAGGAGTCATACAATATGAATGCGGAATATATATAATGTTATGAAATAAGGATCGAATAGGAGTTTATGAGAACAAAAGAAAAATAAATGACAAGAAAATAAATAGGCACACACACAATTGAGACAAGGATTTATACGTGGTTCGGCTATGCCTACGTCCATGGGGAGAAGACAGAACAATATTTCACTATAGAAATAAAGAGATACAAGGCAAAGTGGCTCACACCCAAAACCCAATTACACCCAAAGTCTCTCACCCACTAATTGATATTACAAACTTACTCAATTGATTTGGGATGCTTCAACACAATGGAGGGTAAGGCTACTTATAGACAAAATGGGACACCAAAATGAGGCTACTTGGTGACCACTCAAAAGATTTGCTGGGCACACATTCTTGGAGGCCAAGAATAAAGTTTGATGAACACATATACTTAGAGGCCAAGAAGATGATGTCATGGGTGATGCAAGCCTCAAATTGAGCCACATGTTCAACAAATCTCCACCTTGACGAAAATTCAAATGAGCCACTGTATCTCTGCAAAACAAACTGTCTTCTCTGCAAAACAAATTAATTAAGAATTTTAGTTAAGTTTGAGTCATCCTCAAACTTAACCCTCGGGCTCTCATTCTTCAAACCATGCATGTCTTACGCAGCTACAAGCATACCTCCAGTATTTGTGTCAAACTCTAAATGCTTTCCAAAAGCAATCTCAAAAATTTCAAATTTGACATCTCCTTCAGCAACCTTCTCCAACCGCCCACAAACCACCGGCTGGTAATAAAAAGTCATCTTCTCACCTTTGTGGAGAATAGGAAGTCCTTGACTTTTTCTCGCATCTCTGTTGTAACCAACTACTTGCCTCCCACGCATCTTAATGTCACTCGAATGGACTATCTCATTGCCACCAAGATTATTGCAAGTCAATATCACACCTGTCCTTATGGGTCTACCTCCCTGTAAGGACTGCTGCAATTTCAGTTGCCATCTGAAAACGGATTTCATTCTCCCACCATGTTGTGTAATCCCCTCACAACCCTTTTGAGAACTAGGATCGTCACTCCTCTTTCTAACTCTTCTTTTGCCAAGACCCAAACGTAGATTTCTGCTAATTGTAGAAGACCCTGTAGAAGCTCCACCTGTTACTGTATTCCTTTGGAGAAAATACAAATTTTTCACCTTGGTGCCCTGTAGCACCATAAGAGAATCCATCACGACCATCATTGCTGTAATGTCTGTAAATTAAAAAGAAAAAGAAAAAGAGAAAAGAAAAGAATTTTTGGTGGGTCCCACCACTAAACCTTAAGTGGCTAGAGACCATTTTTGGTCTCTCATTCTTCCTCTCTCCCCGTATTTATCTCTCTCTCAATTTTTCTATTTCATTTTCTTTTCTTTTTCAACCCAATCTTTGAGGCAAGATTTATTCTTCGTTACTTGGCGGATTTAGGTGCCGTTTGAGGCAAAATGAAGCCCACGACGAGCTCTACGCATCCATACGAACAATTCCAGATTTGGTGCCCTTCTTGGAGTTCGAAATTCAAGACCCATTTTAAGGGTTTTGTGCAAATTTGAGGTAGGGACACCTTAATCCACTACCTTTTTGTTCCATTGTGAGTTATAATCATTTGTTATGCCAAGCATGCTTAATTAGAAGTTAATTGTATCAATGATTATTTTAAATGTTGTCTAGAGAAATTCATGTATTTGAATGTGAGTTGTTTTATGTGTAAAGCATGCTTAAATGTATTTTGATGTATCTTAATGTGTTAATAATTACTTGGGAGATGTTGAACATGTTGAATGTTTAATTTTATGGTGTAGAATTTTAAATGCCGTGACATTGAATGTATGGAACATAGATACATGCACATACCATTGGGTTTGCATGAAATGGGAGAAATTGTTCTTGAAATAAATATGGGGAATTTCAGGGAAGTGTTTTTGATGAAATGGTTTTATGCGAAACCCGGTCGCTGTGGGGTTACCAACGGGCCGGAGGTTAATATAGCTTAGAGGGGACTAGGGAGTCGCCCTAGCGTGGTTGAGCTAGCTGGGCCCCATAATGACGCCGCGGGGTTACCAAGGGTCAGGGACACTAGCCAATCTTCCTCTAGTGTCGTGGCGGGGCTACTAAAGGGCGGGCTGTATTAACAGTTTGGAAATGATGTTTTGGATTATGAAAATGGGGAGCAACACTAGCATGCATTGCATCTCATACCATTGCATTGGATATACTTGACATTGAATCGTTATGCTGTATTATTTCCCGACATTGTATGATCCCCATTTCCCATTGGCCTATGCTTTGTTTGGATTCACAAGGACACAAGATGTGTGTCTTAAGTGTCACCTGCTGAGCTTTATGCTTACCCTACTATTTATATTATTTTTTTTAGGTTTTGGAAATGAACTGGTGGACGACAATCCACCTCAAGCTTGAAAGTTGTTAGAAGGTTGTTTGCTATTTTGTATTTTGACCGTTCTATGTATATTTGTAGTTGTGGAAATGTAACTAAGTTAGTATTCATGGCCTTGTAACTTAAGAACGAACTTATCTTTTGTTTGATGTAAATGAAACTAGTGGAATTATGGTATATGTTTCCATGCAATTGTATCATGTAACGTTGTAAGACAGGGACTTTAAATATTAATCTTGTATTTTGGGACTGTAATTATGATAATTTAGATTAATTGGTGTATGGATGTTCCACCATGGAAGGAACTATGTTAAGGTATAATGAACGGATGAATGGGATGCTAGATGATTTTATGTGTTTTGTGTATTGGGACAGGTTATTGAAGGCCCATTTTTAGGGGAGGTTATGCCGAATTTTTTTTTTAAATTTTGGCATCAGCTAGGGTCGTTACAAATTTGGTATCAGTGCGATGGTTCGAATACCATTAGGACGACGGGTAGAGGCTTGCCTAGGGTTGTCTGGGAAGTTATTTGCATTGTTATTTCCTTGTTTGGAAAAGTGTTTTGTTATGTGAAAAAGCATGCTTAACTGCTTACTTGCTTACGTGCTTATGTGTTTATATGCTTACATTAATGTGTTCATTGCATAGTATTACATGCTAAATGTTTGTACAGTATGTTTTTACGTTGGGTTGTTCACGGTTGGACCTTAGTGTTATCGTTATTGAATTGTTTCCTTTGTTTTATAGAACGATGTCACGGCGTGAGGAAATCAGGGAAGTTGGCCCTAGACCGACTAGGGGTGATGTTGGTGAGAGCTCCAGCTCTAATCCGGATGAGCTAAATGATGAGGACACACTTCTTAGGGACTTGATTCCCCCGAGAGCTGTCCCCACAAGGAGGGATAATGTTGAAGCACCCGTAGAAGTGGGTGAAGGTTCTGTGGCACTAGAGTTTAATCGTTTGTTGCAAACTTTCGTGAGGGCAACGATTGCTGCTCAGTCGCAGTCGGTACCACAACCTACAGTTCAAGTTAAGGAGACGCCAGCTCAGAAGCGTCTCAAGATTATTAAGGGGTTTTCTCAGCTGATGCCGGTTATGTTTGAGGGCGGTGCGGATCCAATGATAGCAGATGACTACATGGAGCAAGTTGAAACTCAATTGACTTCTATGGATGTGACAGAGGATCATTTGAAGATCATCCTAGCTACTTATAAGTTTGCTAAGAATGCTAAATTATGGTGGAAGTCGGTTACGAGCCGATACAAGGTAGAAGAGATGAGTTGGGACAAGTTCAAGGAATTATTTTATGAAAAGTACTTTCCGCTTTCCAAAAGATGGGAGTTAGAAGACCAGTTTCATAACCTTATCCAAGGGAGCATGTCAGTGGCAGAATATGAAAACAAGTTCACTTCCCTTTCTCGCTTTGCTCCAAAAATGGTGAGAGATGAAGTTAACAAGACTCGGAAGTTTGTTTCTGGTCTTAATGATCAGATAAGGCCGTTGATCACAGCACAGTTCATTAAGGTTTACTCTGAAGCAGTGGAAAGGGCTTTGATGCTGGAAGCTGATAATAAAGAGAAGGATGCAAGAAGAGAGCAGTTGAAACAAAAGAGGGGTGCAGGGCCATCTTCAGAAGGATCTTCTTGGAAAAGGAACAGGGGCGGTCCATCTCAGTTTCAGGGACAGCAGTCTGCACGATCTGCTCCTACCACTCCGTTGCCAGCTGGGTCTGATAGGAATGCAGTTGTTTGCTTTCAATGTCAGCAGCCTGGGCATTACAAGTCCAGTTGTCCTATGAGATTGACTTCAGTTTCTTCAGCTCCGAAGGTTTGTTATGGGTGTGGCCAGCAGGGCTATTTGATTCGGGACTGTCCGAGTCAGGGAGCAGGCACCACTAGTGGCAGAGGGTCACGACAGAGGCCGTTACAGTCGGCTACGGTTCAATCAGGTTTCAGACCACCGCCGCCACCACCACAGCTTGCCTTGTCTTCTCAGGGTTCACGACCAGCTAGGAGGGATACTCCTACTGTGTCGGCACAACAGTCTGGTGTTCAGATTAGTAGTTCACAGGCATAGGCACCGCAGGGGCGTGTCTTTGCCCTTGCACCGACTGACGCATCTCCTGGATCTTCAGTTCTCCGAAGTATATTTCCAGTGTTTGGTTCTTGGGCCCGTGTTTTGTTTGATTCTGGTGCATCTCATTCTTTCATTTCATCATCATTTGCACTTGCATCGGGGTTAGAGGTCAGTTTTATGGATCGGGCATTGTGTGTTGATACGCCAGTTGGAGTTTCAGTGTCTTTGAGCCGAGTCGTGAGGGACTGTTCCATTGGGATAGCCGGGCGGACTTTTGTGTTTGACCTTATCCTCCTAGAAATGACTAGCTTTGATGTCATTCTCGGGATGGATTGGTTAGCTTCCTTTCATGCCATGATCGACTGTTTCAGAGGAAGGGTTACAGTTTGTACTCCCGAGGGAGACTGTTTCTTTTTCGTGGGAGATCGGAGTGATTCCCACATTTCATCGTTTTATGGAATTCGTGGATGGAGTCGTGGTGATTACTTTTTGGCTACCCTTATAGCCGAAGAGGATGATGTTGTGGAAGAATATTATCCTGCAGTTGTTCGTGATTTTCTGGATGTGTTTCCGGAGGATTTGACAGAGTTGCCTCCACACCGAGAAGTGGAGTTCTCTATTGAGTTAATGCCAGGTACCGCGCCGATTTCTATGACACCGTATCGTATGGCACCAGTTGAATTGGAGGAATTAAAAGGACAGCTTGATGATTTGAGGATGAAAGGTTTCATCCGACCGAGTGTGTCACCATGGGGCGCACCGGTCTTGTTTGCTAAGAAGAAATATGGTTCTTTGAGATTGTGCATCGATTATCGGAAGTTGAATCGCGCCACCATCAAGAACAAGTATCCTTTGCCAAGGATAGATGATTTATTTGATCAGTTGAGGGGAGCCAGTTGTTTCTCCAAGATTGACTTGAGGTCTGGCTATTATCAGTTGTGGGTTAGGGATGAGGATATCCCGAAGACAGCATTTCGTACACGATATGGGCACTATGAGTTCCTTGTTATGCCTTTTGGCTTGACTAATGCTCCAGCGGCATTCATGGACTTAATGAACCGCGTCTTTCACGATTACTTGTACCAGTTTATGGTAGTTTTCGTGGATGACATTCTTGTGTATTCACCATCTCGGGAGGAACACGAGATTCATTTAAGTATTGTTTTACAGATTTTGCGGGAGCACCGGTTGTATGCCAAATATGAGAAATGTGAGTTTTGGCTACAAGAGGTGAAGTTTTTAGGACATGTTGTTTCAGAAGGCGGAGTGTCAGTTGATCCATCAAAGATTGAAGCTGTTTTGAATTGGGAGCAACCCAAGAATGTGTTCGAGATCCGTAGTTTTCTTGGTCTAGCGGGTTACTACCGGAGATTTGTGAAAGATTTCTCCCGTTTAGCAGCGTCTATGACCCATTTAACCTGGAAAGGGATTAAGTTTGCATGGAATGAAGCCTGTGAGTCATCTTTCCAGGAATTGAAGACAAGATTGACTACGGCTCCAGTGTTGGTGATACCTGAGCGTGGCTTGGGTTATGTGATCTATTGTGATGCTTCACGTGATGGTTTAGGGTGTGTGTTGATGCAGGATGGCAGAGTAGTGGCTTATGGGTCTCGACAGTTGAAGACTCACGAGTACAACTACCCCACTCATGATTTGGAGTTGGCGGCAGTTGTGTTTGATTTGAAGTGTTGGAGACACTACTTGTATGGTGAAAGATTCGAGGTGTACTCGGATCATAAAAGTCTCAAGTACCTTTTCTCCCAAAAGGACTTGAACAATAGACAGAAAAGATGGGTTGAATTCTTGGAAGATTATAATTTTGACTTGCAGTATCATCCGGGCAAGGCAAATGTGGTAGCAGATGCCTTAAGCCGAAAATCTCGTGGAACTTTGGCCTGTCTGGCTATTCGGAAGTGGAAGATGCTTAAGGATTTGGCAGAGATGGGATTGTATTGTTTTGATGACGATGTTGACAGCGAGCCGGCATTCTTGTTTGGTCTTATGGCTCAGCCTACTCTTGTTGTACGAGTGATTGAGTTACAGAGACAGGACCCAGATTTAGATGCCATTCACGTTTTGATCTCTAGTGGTGAGACAGTGAAAGATTGGGCCTTGTATGCAGATGGGGGTCTACGGTTCAGGGGTTTGTTGGTGGTTCCTACTGTTTGTCGTGAGGACGTCTTACGGGAGTTTCACATTTCCCGCTTTACAGTTCATCCAGGTGGTACCAAGATGTATCAAAATTTGAGACGTCAGTATTGGTGGAACGGGATGAAAAAAGATGTTACACAGTTTGTGGCTAGATGCCTTACCTGTCAGCAGGTGAAGGCCGAGCATCAGAGACCAGTCGGTTTGTTGCAACCATTACCTGTAGCGCAATGGAAATGGGAGCATATTGTTATGGATTTTGTGACAGGTCTTCCAAGGTCACGAAGGGGCAATGAGTCCGTATGGGTCATCATTGACAGATTGACCAAAACGGCTCACTTTTTGCCTATTAAGGCAATAGATGATGCAGAGAAGCTTGGTGTTCTTTATGTGAAGGATATTGTAAGGTTGCATGGAGTTCCAGTAACCATTGTTTCAGATAGGGATGCTAAGTTCACTTCGAAGTTTTGGGAAGGACTTCAAGCAGCGTTTGGCTCAGCGTTGCACCTGAGTACGGCATTCCATCCACAGACTGACGGTCAGTCGGAGCGTACTATCCAGATTTTGGAGGATATGCTTCGGGCATGTGTGCTTGACTTGGGTGGTAGTTGGGAGGATCACCTTCCACTTATTGAATTTGCCTACAACAACAGTTATCAGGCGAGCATTCAGATGGCTCCATTTGAGGCGTTATATGGTAGACCTTGTAGGTCTCCTATTTGTTGGACTGAGGTAGGCGATATAGCCGCCTTAGGACCTGACATTGTACTCGAGACTACTGAGAAGATTAAGTTGATAAGACAGAGGTTACTTACAACTCAGAGTCGACAGAAGAGTTATGTGGATAAGCGGAGACGGTCGTTATTCTTTGAGGTGGGAGACCATGTTTTTCTTCGAGTTTCTCCACGGAAGGGATTGATGAGATTCGGGAAAAGTGGCAAGTTGTCTCCACGATTCATTGGACCATTTGAGATTTTGGACCGTGTAGGAGAGGTTGCCTACAGACTTGCTTTACCACCACAGTTGGAT